CATCTTCCATTGTGTTGGACGTATGCTAACAAACGTCCCGTTCCACACTTGTACACCACCGCCAAGGTCCTTTTCGCAGCCGGTCGGATAATCAAAGAACGAATTACGGACTTGGATGGTCCTCATTTTTTGCCGAAGTTTCACAACAATCTGGATTGCTTGTGTAGTATCAAACGGTATTTCAGTATGTTGTCCTTCGAGGACTTCGTTAAGGTGAGAAAGACTAATGCGGGCAACGTATCGAACATTGACAATGAACTCTTTTTTGCTACCATTGTCCGTAGTGTACTGTAGGTCGTACTTTCGACTCTCACTCTCCTTAATACCAATTCCAGGAATCATAGTGGGACAATACATGTTCTCACCATTCTTATCATACACCACTTTAGGACCACTTGGATTTTCCTTCTCGTATATTTTCACGACCTCTTGAATAATTTTTTGGGCTTCGGCCTTCGTATACCCCTCTCCGCTTTTGTTTCCTTTCTCTTGGATACCTGTTTTGTAATGATGGATATCACTGGTTGGTATTTTCACAGGTAAAAAGTTCGCTCGAATTTGGATAGATCGGCCAGATCTGCCTCCACCATCAGGACGGCGAGGGGGCTTTGGTCTGGCTCTATCCGATTGTGGTGTACTCCCTCTTTGACCAGAGGAATCAGGTTTCTCTGCCCCGCGGGGGGATTGGGGTTGTTGAGGGGGTGCAGGTTTAGCTGCCCCTGCAGATGGTTGTGTTGATGGCTGAGCTCTGGGTTGAGCGGGACCTTGAGGTCTGGAATCCCCTTGAGACGCGGGTGACGGCTGCCCCGGTGGCTTACTAGGACCTGCACCATCTGTTCGATCTCCGGGTTGCTGTTTCCTTTGTGGCTGTTTCTGTGATTGTTGTTGTGTCTCCTTAGGTGGCTGTCTCTGTTCTGGCAATGCCGTAGCCCCTTGTTGTTCATCACTCGGGTGCTGTTTTCTTTGTGGTTGTTTTTGCGATTGTTGCCGACCCTGCTGAGGTTGTTGCTGTGTTCCTTTAGGTGGCTGTCTCTGTTCTGGCAGTGCCGTAGCCCCTTGTTGTTCATCACTCGGGTGCTGTTTCCTTTGTGGCTGTTTCTGTGATTGTTTCCGACCCTGCTTTGATTGTTGCTGTGTTTCTTTAGGTGGTTGTCCTTGTTCTGGCAATGCTGTAACCCCTTGTTGTTCATTACTCGGTTGCTGTTTTATTTGTGGTTGTTTTAGCGATTGTTGCCGACCCTGCTGTGGTTGTTGCTGTTTTTCTTTAGGTGGCTGTCTCTGTTCTGGCAATGCTGTAACCCCTTCCAGGTGATTTCGTGTTCGTATTTTAGCCAATCAGCGCTCAGAAAGGGTTGTCCGAATAGAAATCCATTTTGATGTATTCAGTCAATTATATATTTC